GCCCAAGTGTTGTCTCCTAGCTTTTTGCATTCAAGGCTGGCAGTCTACCATTTGAGCCACACTTCCACTTCTGGCTTTTTGGTAGTTACTTGGAGATAAGCATCTCACAGGCCCTCCTACTGGGATGGGCTTCAAACTCTGATCCTCAGATCTCAGCCTCCTCAGTAGCTGGGATTGCAGGCATGAGCCACCAGTGTCCAGCAATGAGTCTTCTTTAGGAAAAACTCACACCAAAGTTGACCACATGCCTGTGCTGATACCTGTGGCTTCATCTTGCCCTTCTCCTGGTCAAGTTAATTACTTTTCAGAGCTCATCATAGAAGACATGCCCACAAAGAAGGCTTTCTCCTTTGTTAGCCAAAGGTCAAGCCAAACTTGACCTTTCGAAAGGTCAAGTTCCCTCATCCTATCTGCTCATAGAACACTCATTTAGAGCAGGAATCATCTGAAGTGCACAATGGTGTTCATGATTGGAAGTTAGTCGTTTAATCACGTGACAACATGTTTTGCATCTGTTCAGGATATAACAAAAAGGCCTTCCACCAAGGTCTCCTATGGAAGGATACTTTTTGAAGAGAGAAGAAACACCTAGCCTGGCTGCTGCCTTCTGTGTGGCACTGAGAGTTCTCAGCTCCACTTTCTCTTCCCACTAGAAGTATAATTCTGGGAAACGGGTTTTTCTCCCCCAAGCCCGAACTGGACTGCTGCTTTCAACACTGATGAATTATTACCTCTCTCTTGGAGGTTCACTTCTAGACCTAGATGAAGCCTGCTTCTGTTCGGGCCCCAACGCTTGCTGTGAAGAATCTGCCCCTTTGCTTCTGTCTGGGGGTGCACTGGGGGGCACAGTGTCCTGGGACGAGGCCGCTGCCGTGCTCAGGGGGGTCTGGGACCTCGACCGCTCTTGGAGTCGCGCCTTCTTTTCTCTGGGAACCTCAGATCCAGCACCTGTGGCCCTGTCACTCAGGGTTCCGTCCTGACTTGGATGCTGAGGGCCGCTTCCAAAGAACCACGCACCAGATTTGGTTAAGATTTCTTGTTGCTTTCGACATAAATTGCATACCCACATAACCTATTTGAAGAAAAGAGAACAAGGTAATTTTTCTACGCTCATTTGGGCATAGAAAGAAACGTTTTCCTGTAAATGTTGATGCTTACAAACTCCTTTTGGAAATGGTTCTCGTGTAGGTTAGTGCATGCCTGGCCTGGTCTGGAACCCATCTTGAAAGCAAGATGTCTCTGGACATCCAGAGCCATTTTTCTCACCAATTTTCTCACCATTTTTAATCATTCTGAGACTCCCTTTACCTTATATCTGCCGTTTTTGCATAATGGACTCTGAAGTTTCATTTAGAGCTCCTAAGTAGTAAAACTCTTAAGTGAGGTAGACAATTGATTAGAAAACTAATATAAAGAGCCTTAGGACTAGTATTTATGTGAACCAACTTCAGCATCTCAATGGACTTAAAAGATGTCTGTCTTCTTAGAAACCATTCATTATTAAAGCCAATCGTGAAAGTAATTCATGTGGACCATACAAAGAGAGGCACAAAAGAGAAGACCATGCAGTGTATTTTCTCTAGCTTCTTAGCAATAAACTAACCTCAAGCTTCTTTTTTAATGCTATAGGAAGTAATAATCCATGTAGAAAACTATAAAAGTAATAGGTCTGAGGCTGAATTTTATTCACACATGAACATTCCAATGTAATACTGCACTAGTAGAGCTACTGGAAAATTGTCTCATCACTATTCTCTCTAGTCTTGATGATGTTTACAATGAGTACAAGACAGAGGGCAATAATCCTCATAAAAATAATGACAACCAGAGCAAAGAGAAGCAGTTTCCAAGCCATCATTGAGGCATGCTTTCAACTCTGATCATAAATATGAAGATAAATCCATTGCATGAGCATATATCAAAATAGTTTATATTATATAGCTTCAATTTAAAATATTAGTCAAATCAAATGTTGCACCTTGTAGATACCATCACCCTGATTTCATAAGTCTCTCAGAAACCTCGAGAGAATGAGGGATGACATTTAAAGGAACAGTATTCCAGGACTGGGATTTCATGATTAGTGACATAGATCTCTGCATAGAATCTAGGATTGAGGCTGTAGATGTTTTTTTCCATGATTCTTTTGTTGCTTTTTTAGCTAATATGAAAGTCCAAAACAATTTGAAAGTCATAAGTTGATTTGAAATCATATGGTTCAAGAAGATTGATATGAAAATTTTACTATTTTACATGAACTAGACATTAAATTTGAATTTCCCAAATTCACAACAAGAAAATTTTAACTAAACATCCAAAAAAGGTACTTTTTACCTTAAAGAATGTATAAAATAAATAAATAAAATTTGTAACTATTGCAGTTTCGAAAATGAGAGAAAGCCAAATAAACAGGTCAGACAAATGATAGTCTTCGTTTAATGTCTAAGTAATTTCTATATATTTACACAAACTTATTTATAGTCTCATATATTGCATGATTTAAAAGCAATCACTAAATTTGGGTCAGTTTCCCATTTTTAATATATACAGAAATGCTATAAGATCCATAGAAGGAAACAAAAACTAAATTTTCAATTAAAATTAACATTTATAATCCATTTTATTTAATTTTCAATGTTTCCAGAAGGTTAAACTTATTGAATAAGTAAAATAAAAATAGTCATATTACATAATGGTTTTAAATTTCTTTTCACCTAAGTCTGAGTGCTTCACTAGTTTATATTACTTTTGAAAGTTTTAGTAAAAATTTATTTCATTATAACAGCTTCAAAGAGGGAGCAAGAAAGACAAGATTGCAGATAAGTGAACTCTATTTTAAACATTCATTTTGAAAAAAACTATTAAATTCCAAATTTTCCAAGTCATATTTCACAGTTTATTATAATTTAAAATCTTTATCTTACAACTAAGGGGTGAAACTATCCTCCAACAGGAAAATAACATTAACTATAAACATGCTGGTACTTAGATTTT